CTACCCCCCCCCACCCCCCCCAGCCGCTCACCCAGCAGCCTGGGGCTCCAGACCCCTCCCCAGCTCCGCTGCCCTTCTCTGGACACGCTCCAGCCCCCCCAGGTCCTTCGGGGAGAGAGGGGCCCAACCCTGAACACACGGAACGACAGGACATCAGCTGCTCTGCAGACAAAATGAATGCAACTGTCAATGTTGTCTGGAACCAAGGCATCACAGCGACATTAGAGATGTGATGATGGTTACGAAGTCTATAGCCACTTGGAATTGTCACTGAAACCAGCGGCACAATGGAAGGATGATGGACATGGAGGAGCCGAACAATGATGACTACAACAGGACAGAAGTGTCCGACTGTGTGTGGATACACACACACGAGACAGTGGTAGAGAAAGAGGCCGTAGGGTTGTTCTTCCAGATACAACCATCCGCTCAATCTGCCTGAGATGTTAAGTTCTCCTTTTTCTTGCTCTGCTATTATAAAAGAAAATCAAACGGTTTAAAGTATCACTAACGCCACCTTATTACAGTAAATAAGTAAGACAACGTAGGGTACACATACGTCGATGATTTGAACGCTGCTGTCTCTGGGTTTTTTTGTTGGTAGTCAAGAAGCACCATTAGCCTGTAAGCAGACAATGAAAAACACCGACGGGTTTTTCTCAAAGCTTAATGTGCGAACTCTTAAATAACAGCGTTACACCCTAGCCAGACAGACCCTATGAGAAGGTTATTCTTTAACTCCTTTGTTAAACGAGCTCATTTTGCTTCGCTGCCGCGGAGCACGTAATAACTCATAGCTTATGTGCTATCTTTGACCTAGAAACACTGGCAGCTGTTAGGGGAATCGCCGGGTTTTTGGAAAGTATCAAAAGGTTTTTAGCACATAAACCAAATTTATGAACAGCTATTGCCCCGGAGAATAGAATTGTTTATGTTTTAGTATCACAGCTGTCACTGGTGCACAGTTATTTTGTCCTGTATTAATCCCCTGAAAAGGTTGAGCATCTTCACTCAGTCACTGAAATATTTTATAATTGACAGACTTCATCTGGCGCTGAATATGTATAATAATTTTCTCCATAAGGAGCCCACTGTGCTGACACTAATCTGTTCTGTTGTCGTCTCCCTTTATTATCAATGTCTGCGTTGTTTTTTCAGCAGCGCTGAAGAACACAAATACGAAGCTTCTAATTGAAAAAGCTAAGTAATCAAAAAGCCAATTAATCATACAGATGAGCTCTGACACCCACTGATGCAACAGACAGAAATACCACATACGCACAACTGAAGTATTTTTAAAGTGTGCTTATTTGATGTAAGAATGATCTGAGAATGTAATTAGCATTCTTCGGTACAGGTGACAGACTCGGATTGCACATTTCTTCATCCTGACATTGCTTCTCCGAGCTCCGTTTGCTCCGCTCCCACCTCGCCTCCCATTCTGATCTTTTCTCTGCCGAACAGCCCCTACGCTGACTTTGTGTACCTTTCACGGAAATCAGGACAAGTTTAGGAACAAATAAGCAGCCGATTATATACACTCTGTAATTTCCAGAACGTTAGGCCTTGCCAGACCTTCCTTTTTTTTCTTAAACCTCTACTTCCATCCCAACGCTCGCAAAAATCACCAATTCCGAAACTCACAAATGACCTCAATAACGGCTGCGGGCCCCAGCCTCAGTGAAGCTGGGATTGCGGGAGACACGACCTCGCTGCTTTTGCAGGTTTTCATTCTGTAATCTCCACATCTCTGAAAAAGTTCAAAGTCTGATTTGGAGCGCGGAGTTCACCTCCTTTCCGAGCTCGAACAACTCTTTTTTTTTTTTTTTTTTTTTTTTTTTGGGTAGAAGAGATATGCACGTGTACTTTGAAAACAAACCGGATGACAACCTGGCAAAGCAAAGGCTTCTTAGATTGAAAAGACAAGCCGTAATATCCCGAGAGCTCCATTCTGAAAGCAAAGCAAACATGGTCCATGGCATAAGGCAGACAATTCAGAACTGCTTGCTGTAGTCCTGGAGACTTCCAAATCCAAGAAGAGAAAGCAAGGGATGGCAGAGGTCACCTACTTCACATCACCTGGGGGATGACACTTTGGCAGCACTCAGAGAGAGTTCTTTCAAGTTCATGATCTCACTTGCACGCAGCCATGATCTGTTCACACGCGTGTTCACACGTGATTCCACACGGGAAGTCATCGCTTAGCAGGGGCAAGCAAAGGCACTGTATCGGTGACCTACTTCAACATTAAAAATAACTAAGAATAAAATCTTATTTGCTGCATAGCACCTTTGAAAGGTGAAAGAAAAGCTTTCAAGGAATCACGGTTTATCGCACATCCTTCATTGTGAATAACTCCAGTGCTACTTGCACCGTGACGATAAAACGGAAGGCAGATAACTCAAGAGCAGAGGTACAACCACCCCAGAAGAAGCCACTTTGGAGGAAATAACTGCAGATCCTTTTTCCTCGAACACCAGCCAGTTATTACAGAATAAGGAAGATATTCTGTGGGTTTGGGTTTTTTTGTGAAGGATCTTAAATTTTTAACTGTTTAAATAATGCACCATTTTAGAATCATTAAACTAATTTACCCTCATCCTTTCAAACTGCTTTTCATTGCCAAGAACATGGACTTCATTAATGTAATCTTCAAAAAGGTAGGACAAAACACCAAGACACTATCTGATATGCCCTCTGTTTAAAATATTCATTAAGACCAATTATACACACTGATAATTCATGCAACGCGCTCTTCTTCCTAATCCATAAAAACAAGGGGTTTTCTTCTACCCTGCTAAGCTGCATAAATTAATATATATCTTGTTAACATCGTTTGCAAAACGGACCAAAAAAATATCCAAATTAATCAGCAATAGGTAGGCTCGTGAAGAAGGCAGAGGGGTAAAGGAGGAAAATGTATTCAGGCTGAAGGTTACAACCAACCTGGGATTTAGAAAACGATGACAGCAGTAATTATTTGAAATTAACATCCTATAAAATAATACCCTATAAAGAATACGAATGTTAACAGCAATATGTTAAAACACTGTAAGCATGTCACACAGCTTCCCAAACTGTTCTGTATAGTTTAGTTTCAAGTCTACTGGGAAAAAAAAAAAAAAGACGACGCAGAAGTGCTTTTTAAACACTGCATAAACAACTTGCAATTAACATTAAACTCTCCAGGTACCGGTGGCAACCAACTCCACCCAACGAGAGCAACCGTAGACTGCAAGTAAAGCAGAAATTCAGTATGTATCTTCACACTTCACGTGTCATTTTAAGACTAATTGGGGATACTCATTTACTTCCACCGGTTCTTCATCAGTACTGGTATAAAAGCAACCTCGTTTGGATTGTTTCTCTGTAGGTAATTTCTGTGACAGATGAAATCTCCTTGCAAATGTTGAGAACTTAGTAAAGAAAACAATATTCTCAACACTAAAACCTCCATCTTGTAACATTAAGCCAGAAGAAGTAGCAGTTAATACCAAAAAAACCCGCCTCTGGCCACAGTTTGAATCTTTATCTCCTCAGCAAAGTCATCTTGTTGAACGGTAAAACATAACCAGAAAGTCAGTAGCAGAAATGAACTCTTATTAAAAGGGAAAGACGGCTTTACCCTTTCTTCCAGCCGAGCCAGCTGCTCTTTGTAGTAGGCATCATGCTTCTTCAGTTCTCTGTCTTTCTCTTCCAGCTGCTTGGCCTAAAAAAAGAAATAGAAAGATAAAACTGGATCAAGAAAGAGGATCACTTGCAAAGCAAAACATCGACTCTAAATTGTACCAGTGAGGAATAGACAGCGATTGAGAACTGCAGTCTATTAGCTTTTGCCAAACAGTACATTAATAAGATGATGATTGCTGCATTGAAAATGTAAAGAGATTGTCTATTGTACTGGGTTTTTTCCTTCCCTCCACAACAGCTGTGCCATAGTTTGGCCAAATGTATTTGGAAACGTCACGAAGATGGAATCAAGCATATCCTGCTGAGATTAATCCTTTCTTTTTTTTTTTTTTTTTTTTTTGATTAACTTTGCAGATCACTTCTGAACTTCAGGAAACTTGCTCAAGCTACCGAACAAAATACACGAAGAACCTAAATGTTTGGCTTTATTTGTTAACTAAGTGGACATTTTGACATGAGGAAAGCTGAACCTGCATCTACACATTTGTAGGCAGCGGTAAAAAAGAATTCTTTTCAAGTAGTTGTTTTTTCTCTAGAACCCCAGTTCAGGAATGTATTTAGCATGTGCTTAATTCCAAACACATGGATGTTTGGAAGGAACCAAATTACGTATTTGCAAAAGCAGATCTACAAAGTACATCTAAAACTCTGCTGTCCTTTTTAATTAGTAATTATTCCCCTGAAAACTCCTAGATTGAAGCATCCAGCTAAGTAAGCCCAAACCCTTTACTGTAGGATCACTCCCATGTCCAATAACTTAAAATAATACAGAAAAAAATTGAATATTTATCTTTTGAATACTAATGTGACTCAAGTATTCATTTAAGAGACACTGCTTCCAGCACTGTTGAGCAAGTTGACATTTTTTTGGCTTTTCATCTGCAATACATTCTAATATGTAGTATTAAATTATTCTAAAATACATTAAAAGAGCACACAAGCACACAGAACACATACAAAACTACAAGTCCTCCAGAGGCAACACTAGACAAAAGATTCTTAGCAAGCTATAGAGAATTTAATGCCTAAAATATCAGCGCAGATTTATTCCAGGCTCATAATGTTTTAATAAGAAAATCTCTTTAATGACTAATAATTAACTACCAGTGGTCACTACCACGATTGCCTACTCCGCATTAGTCATTTACCTCTAACATGTTATTTTCACCCAGGTATTGATACTACAAAGCCAACTGCAAAAAAGTTCCTATTTTAGCAGCATCATGTAAAATGGTAAACTCTTGTACTCTCACCACTTAAAATAATATCTCCAGGTCACACTCATAGAAGCGGGTCAGAAAACTTACTCACACCATACGTTGTGCTATACTTGTTCTATAGATCCAGGGCTTGATTCTTCTTGTCAAGATTTGCACTTTTTTTGCAGACAGACAAAGAATAAAATAACAACTTTGGATTTTGGGTTGTTCTACTTAACAACTTACCTTTTTTTCTATATCCTGAAGCATATAAAAAAGAAATCAAAAAGTTGAATTAAATTTATTATATCACGGTGAATAGAAAGAATGCAGAAAAATGCATGCATGTCAGGCATATCTGTAATTTAGAACAATGCAGACTTTTACTTTGGTCTTTTTTTAATGAAACTTAACCAAAAAAATCTTTGCTCAACCAAAAGCACATGGCCAAATTTTAATTCTATTTCAATGAAGCAAACTTTGCCCCCTGCCAACCACCTCATCTTCAATATAGTGCTGTGGAACACACATTACAGCCCTGGCCACCATCATTTAAATCCGCCTTTATTCACCACAGAAAACTGATTACAGGTTTTTCTAAAGCTGATTACACTAAAGATTCTACAGCCTAACAACCATGCTTGGTATTGATCACAGTTTTGCTTTTTCTAGATAATCCCTGTATCAACTCTCAACTGGTCTCTTGCTGTGGTTAGAGAAACAGCCAAAAATCCATAGCAGGTCGTGCCTCCCCAAACCATCCTCTCCCAAATATCTAATACAATACTTCAACGCATTATCACAGTTACCCATACAAAATATTTTATCTACAACCACCTCGTGATTCCCAACATATTTGCAAACTCAAGAACATTCCTTCTGCGCAAGTGGAGTTAAATAGGCCAGTGACAAAGAAAACTTAAAATTAATGTTCCATAATGCTCATGAGAACTCAGTTAAGTTTTAGTTCTTAGAATTCAATAGTGGTTTACATGAGCATAGAATCATTTAGGTTGGAAAGACCTTTAAGATCAAGTCCAAGAGTTAACTTAACCCTGCCATCCCACCACTAAACCATGTCCCTAAGCACCTCCTCTGCCCGGCTTTTAAATACCTCCGGGGATGGGGTCTCGACCCCTTCCCTGGGCAGCCCCTTCCAGAGCCTGACAGCCCTTGCGGGGAAGGAATTTTCCCAATGTCCACCCTAAACCTGCCCTGGTACAACGTGAGGCCATTTCCCCGCCTGTTCCCTGGGAGCAGAGACTGACCTCCACCTCACCACAACCTCCTTTCAGGAGGATCCTATTGATAACCTCAAATCAAGCAGCAGATCTGACTTTGGAAAGCCAGTGAGATGTAATAAAACCCATGCAAGAGCATCAGGACTCAATCTGCTCACCCCATTGCTAATGATTCACAAGGGCAGAAATTTTCAGGGTGTAATTACACAACAAGTCAAGGGCACACTAACGATGGAGGAGATGAGACCCATCCTCTCCTCCAGGTCTACCTGAGTTTAAATTCTTTTAATCTGTGTCTTGCTCACTGATCAAACTCCATTCAAAAAAGAGAAATGGATTTTTTTTAACTGTATCTGATCACTACATTTATATATATTGAAAGACAATATGAGCAGGGGAGTGCAAATAACTTGGATAAGGCTAACTTGTTCCAAGGCTATCCATCTGAATGCAAGTTTTTGCCCTGGAACGGTTCTTAGGTTTTTTTGGATTGAACTTTGGGTTTGGTTTCCTGCCCCCCAAGATAATTAGCGATCAAACCATCTGGATTTTACTGCACTAAAGACATGGGGACCAAGCAGTGAATTACAGTCATGCTGCTCATTGCCTTGATCCTATCAAAGCTTTTACATCACTGATAAAGCAGAAATACTAAATTATAAGAATACTGAATCATAGAATCATCTAGGTTGGAAAAGACCTTTAAGATCATCAAGTCCAACTGTTAACCTAACCCTGCCATCCCACCACTAAACCCTGTCCCTCAGCACCTCACCTATCCTTCTTTTAAATACCTCCAGGGATGGAGACTCAATCACCTCCCTGGGCAGCCCATTCCAGAGCCTGACAACTCTTTTGGTGAAGAAGTTTTTCCTAATGTCTAGCCTAAACCTGCCCTGGCGCAGCTTCAAACCATTCCCCGTCGTCCTATCATCTGTTACCAGGGAGAAGAGGCCGACCCCCACCTCCCTACAGCCTCCTCTCAGGCAGTTGTAGAGGGTATCCAAAGGTTTTGTTCCCTATATTGTGAAAGTAACGGGAAGATTTGGTAGGCCAGTAAAAAACTCAGGGGGAAAAAAAGTTTCTTCCGTATAGCTACCATTCCTGGTATTTAAACCATAACGCAGACACAGCAAAGTTTAAAAAAAAATAAAAACCAAATTATTCATTTATTCAGTAGACAATATAAATATGCCAAAAGAAGAGAATTCACTGCAGAAATAAAAACCTGTAAGGTAATATTATATTTATGGGGCCGCAGCAACATGATCTCAGTGAATATCAATTAGCCATAACAAAATAATTAAGAGTAGCCATGTATTCAATTAGCTGAATGCTGCACTTTAGTTGTAAATGAGATACTGGAAGAGGTTCATTGCTTCTTCACAACGTAACTCTAATAAACAAAGCGTTTGCTTGGGTGTTATTTAGAAAACAGCTTCAGAAGGTCACCTTTGAGAGGCAGCCCGTCTTCCCAAGACTACCCAAAATTAAACTCCAAAAATAGATCACTAGTATTAAAGTTGTTTAGAATCGCTAGGAAGTTGGACCGAGATTTAAAGGCCAACCTGGATTTCATTTTCAGAAGTAGTGCCTGGATTCAGCACAGCACTGGTATGAATTTCCATCACCAGAGAAATGGATGTCTACAAAAAATTCCCGTGCGTCACCTCGTACACAGCCGCAGGGATACTTGCAGAGCAGTCCCATGATGAAGCCAAACCCTTCTCATGCTGGATACAACGGACACACATTAATTTTGTCCTTTCTAGGGTAGAACAGAGCAAATAAGCAGCTGACTAAAAACGTAGGTTTAATAATTATCTTTAAAAAATAAAGGAATCCAGTTAGCTGGATACAGCAAGGTACGTGCAGTCTGTAATTGTTATTCTTTAAGGAGCTGCAGGGGATAAACCACTATCAGGTATTTCAGGAGAAGTTTGTAGGCAGATGTCAAAATCAGCTCTTGAAGCACTCGGCAGTCCCAGGTTTACAGCTGCCCCTCAGTGCAGACTCCGAGCTCCAAATTCATTAACATCCACCGAGTTTACAGAAGAACACCCCGGAGACGGCTTCCATTTGCATTTTTCTGGCAGTGAAGTATAATCTGTTTCAAAATAACAGTCCAGGTTTACACTACATTTATAAAGCATCAGCAGTCATCTGAAAGCACTCTGCCTAGGTCTCACCAAGCTGCTTCGTGGTCAGTTCCTCATCACCTCACCAAGAACGTCAGAGGACGAGGTAAGTGGAGAACGAAGGGACCAGGTCTCCCAAGCCACATTCAAGGCTGCAAGTGAGACCACGCGTCGGGCCCAGGGGCTGAACAAGCTCCTTGTCACATTGGGCTTACAAGACTAAGGAGATTTGCCCAACGAAATGCTAACTACAGCAATGAGGGCTTTTCTCATGGGAAAGGTCACATGAAATATCTACAGGCCTTCAGCCATGCCCATGTGCTTTGAAGAAAAGGTTAACCGACTAATAAACAAAAGAAAGCGTTGGCAGAGGGCTGGCCTTCAGGAGCTCCAGAAGCACGACCATCTTGCAGGAAAGCCATGGGAACCTCAAGATGAATG